AAGAATATGCTATCATACAGTGCTTTTACTAAGAATATTTTTTGTCTATTGTTTTTGGGGTTAAAATAATTTTTAATCTTTTAATCTTCCCGACCACCTAGGAAAAAATTTTATTCACCCTAAGGTATTCTATTGATAATTATAAATTTGGATATAAATGAGATGCAGGAAAAAACTCTGTGCAAAAAAAGTGACTCAGATATCACATTCTAATGATTCAACTGGTCAATTTAAAGAATTTTTGACAAAATATTAAAAACTATTTTACAATACACTCAGAACAATATTCTAGAGAATTCTAGAACAGCTTAAATTAAATCTAGAGTATTCCAGAATATTCCAGAAAGCCTCATACATTATAAAAACAGCTTGAAATAGCCACTCAGGTCACTAACCAGATGAAAGGGTACAAACACGCATCAGAACCACTTAAGGCATCAATTATTGCCCCCTCAAAACCAGGTAAGTCTACAAGAGAAATTGCAGAAATTGCTATAACCTCGCAATCAACTGTCTCTCGAGTGCTTAGGGCACATAATGATGCCACTCCTGCCCCAAGGAAGGAAACAAGGGGAGGAAAAATAAAAAGATTGATGATAGAACTGGCAGGGTAATCAAGAGAAAAGTTGCAAAGAATAGGACTAAAACTAGCCAAGAAATTGCAGCCAGTGTAAGTGAAGAGCAAGGTGTTAGTCTTGCCTTTTCAACAGTCTGTCAGTGGCTGTTAGAACAAGGCTACAAATCTTGTACACGAAGGTTTAAGCCGCTAATAAGCAAAGCCAACAAAGCCAAGAGACTTGAATGGGCTTACTATTAGAAAAATTTCACCGTATAAGACTAGAAGAATGTTCTCTTCTCCGATGAAACGAAAGTTGAGCTAAATTCAAAGGTAAAGTAAGTCACTTTTATCAAACAGCACTGTACATACAAAAATGCAAACAGATAAACACAATGATTGAGATTGTGTGAATGGTATTTCAACCATTAGCAGATTTGACATTCTCAAAGCCTAAACAATTCTCCAGTGGAGAAGCTTCTTTCTACAAACCACTGCTTTGTGGAAACGACTCCTACGTGGGTGCTTCCTCGATCACTATAATATTAATCTGTTCAAGTCTGGGGTCAACCGTTATGTTCCCCACATATCCCCGTAAACTGTTCCGCTTACTCTGTAACGCTCTACCACGGGTGACACTTGGGTTTTGAATATCACTGTAAAAAAATACATTCATTTTTCCATTTAGCAAATACAACTTTAAATCATTTGTTTTACTTTAGTGAATATTTTATAAACCATTATCCCTAGTCTCGGTAACGATCCATCCAGTTGAAAATTTGTAATAGGAATCTAAGTTTGAAACTTGTTTAAACATGTCTATAGCTAATCAGAAACCGTTTGCAAATCAGTCCCTCTTTTAAGACACCTTTTATTTAATAATCAAATAAGAATCGTTTTTCAAATGGAAAAAAAAGGGCGTGAAAGGAAACGAAATGTTTGGCGTTTCAGTGAAAAAGATGCGGTTGCCTGCGTTTGTTTAATTCTGTCTTTTGTCAGTTTACGCTCTCTTGAATCCTTTATAGAAACAAAGCCAACATAAAAATACAAAAAAAAAAGGTGGGGGAAAAGGTATTTGATCTCACTCATAAAAAATAGATTCATCCTTTCAATCATTAGCTGACACTTATCAACGATATTTGTTTTGTTTTTTTAATTCATTTCCTCTTCGAAATATAATAATGAACTGATTTCTCTCTTCGTGTGTTTCCTACGGAAACAGCAAAAATGGCACATCATAGCGCCAGTTTAGCGGATTATCGTTTAAAATGCTTCAATTTGAAGACTAAAGTGATTTCCAGTCCGACTGGCCCACATGTTTTCGAGTAATTTTTAAGTAATTAAATATAATTTAAACTAAACCTCTCTGAGAAGCCAGATTTATTAACTGCTAATTACAGAGTTGCTTCCCTTTTGTTAAGAAGAAAATGGCATGAATAAACAAAGAAAATTCCTTGAAGCTAGGTAATGGAAAATAATTAATAATTTATAAATAATTGCAGTAAAAATTCTATAAAGTGTAATTAACTTGATATTGAGTGAAAGACGCCGAAGGCGGCACTTAAATGTGTTTTTGTTTTCTTTTTTTTTAATGAAATGTTGGAAATATTCATTGGGAAACAAAAATATAAAGTCACTTGAATCTTTTATCATATTTATTTCTATTCAATCCTTATGAGTTTATATTATGTTTTCTTTCTATTTTAAACCAGACAAAACTGTACTTACAATCATGCATATATAATCATGGCAATTGCTAACGAATAGTTATTTTATTTATTAATCCGACAGATTTTTATGACTTAAGCGTTATTTTAGTGAATACTCAGATCAATGATGGTTTCTCCAAGGGAAACATAGGTTCAATCTTGCGCAAGAGCGCATATTTTTCTAATAAAATTTCTCGATATGCATTATTCGAACTCTTGTCTTCATCTTTATATTCACGACGGTTTTCTTCAGGTGACATACGTGAAAATTTTAAAGCGAACCCGTTATTTAGTCCACAGGGGTAAATGATTCTCATTCCACGTGCCATGCCTTTTCTGGACATCTCAATTTCAGTTATTTCCCTTTTAGTAGCTCAACTCTTCAAGTTTTCTGTTTACCTCTGCTATGGCCAGGTAATGAACTCATAACTCTTTTGTGTCAGGTCATTAGATTACTTCAGCCAACGACTTTATCCGCTGGACCATGGAAAGATTTATAGCATGAATAAACGGAGCGTCTATTCGACTACGAGTACCAACTAAAATAAATTTAAGTAAAAAAATAGATAATCATATAAAACACAGTTAAAAACATTAGAGATAAAAAGTATTTAGACACAAAATCAAATATCTAATATATATATATATATATATATATATAAAAGAATAAAATTAATCCATAAACAATTATATATATATATATATATATATATATATATATATATATATATATGTGTGTGTGTATATATGTATGTATGTATATACACACACACACACACACACACATATATATATATATATATTCATGAATTATTCAGACAAAAACAAAAGCAAAGGTTAATGATTTAAATGGCGAGAAATCCATCATCGCAAACAATTCAAATAATATACAAAAACCTCGGATACAACAATACATATATTTTCGTTGTCCTCTTATTACTAAGAGAAAAAACAAGAACAACATTTATTCTATACCTGAAGATGTCTGTAGGAACAGACGAAAGCTTGTAGTAAAAATAAGAACTAATACGGCAGAAATTTATGGAAACAAGGATCAATTCATTCATAACGGATTCGGAGGTTTTTGTATATTATTTGAATTGTTTGCGATGATGGATTTCTCGCCAATTAAATCATTAACCTTTGCTTTTGTTTTTGTGTGAATAATTCATGAATTTGTAAATTGATTGCACGTTTATTTTAATATATATATATATATATATATATATATATATATATATATATATATATATATATATATATATATAGATATATATAAACACACACACACACAAGGAGATATATATATATATATATATATATACCCAAATTATCAACAAAAATTTTATCCACTCTATTGAAGGAAAAATAAAAATTAAAATAATTAGTAAATAAAATTTCAGAGTTTAGGCGGAGACATTAGAAGTGTAGACTTAACGTAGACTTTAGAAGGAACCGGAAATCCAATCCTAAAAAGAAAACAAGGGATAAACCTCTACTCAAAAGACCGGGGAAGAGTATGAACCGAACGGTAGAAAAAATATCCACCCCTATTGAAGGAAAAATTAAAATAATTAGTAAATAAAATTTCAGAGTACAGTTGGAGACGTTAGAAGTGTAGACTTGACGTAGACTTTAGAAGGAACCGGAAACCCAGTCCTAAGCAGGAAACAATGAATAAACCTCTATTCCTTCTCAAAAGACCAAGGAAGAATGTTGGTGTCATTTACACCACAGAACACGAGAATATTGATTCTAGCTATTCGAAAACGTCATAGAGACACATTTTCAGTTTGCATGATATTTTAATAAGTCGTTTACAATCAACTCAAATTTGACCAAATCTTAGATTTGTCTCCGTTTATTACCTTTTGCGGCCATTAAGCAAATGACATACAAGGAGGATGATATTTTAAAAAAAGTATAATCATTGAACGCTTTCTCCGACAACGGCAGATTGCGCACGAACATAAAATATTTGTCGTCACCCCAGACGACATTAAGCAGCTGTGTTCAATGAATATAAATCAAAGTTTCTCCATACATGCAAGTTATGACGCCATCGTTTAAGTTGGTGGCCTCAATTCTTTCTTCTGCTTAACATCTCTTCGAGGCAAGTTTTGCTTAAGCCACATTTTGTTCGTTTGGTGGCGCCATGATGTTTCTGAACCTTGCTTCTGATGATGGAAATTCCAATCACCTGAAGAAGGCCGGAGCGTACAACGGCCGAAACGTTGTGAATATGGCAAGGAAAATGAGTATAACAGTTCGAATAATGTAAATAATGTAAGTAATCCTAATACCTCATCTCAGAGGTATAAACAAACTTTAGGGCTGTGATAAAAAAAGCAACAAAAATTCGATAAAAATTAACTCTGGTCACAAATTAATAATAATAACAATACCTGAAGCAGGTAAGAAATTCATCCGGCTTTGAAGTACTCAAAATTTCTAAGATCTATCTGAAGAATAGAGTTCTTGAATATTGAAGATAGAGTTTAGCTGGGATTCCAGTTATGGAATTTACGAGTCATTGGAGGAGGTCTACACATGTCTTAAGAAGCAATCCGTTTCTGGAGAGTATACTTGGCATCAGTGTCATCGTCAGATGATCCCCAAACTACTTCAACTCGTGTTTCTCTACTTAAACCAATAAGTGATCGTCCAGTACCGACAACTTGACTTAGATCAATCTCAAGTATACGGATTTATAATGAAGGAGGTAGCGTACAGATATGTATAATTTTCCATCTATCTATCTATCTATCTATCTATCTATCTATCTATCTATTTTACTCTATTCATATCTATCTAGCTATTGTAATCTATCTATCTATCTAAGTTTATTCATATCTATCTATCTATCTATTTATCTATCTATTTTACTCTGTTTATATCTATCTATCTATCTATCTATCTATCTATCTATATATATATATATATATATATATATATATATATTGCAGTCTCTGCATATCTATCTATCTATCTATCTATCTATCTATCTATCTAGATCTGTTCATATCTATCTATCTATCTTCCACACACACATAGACGTATACACACACATAGATATAATTTAACATACTCACACGTACAAACACACACACACATCTATACATATATAATTTAACACACATATATATAATTTAATACATACACGGACATAAAAGAATACATAATTTAATACATACATACATACATACATGCATACATATATATATATATATATATATATATATATATATATATATATATATATAATTTAACACACGCGTGTATAGTTTAAAACACGCACACACACACATATATATATATATAATTTAACACACACACGCAGACATATATAATTTAACTCTCTCACACACACGCATATATATAATTTAACACACATATTTACATAATTTTACATACACACATACACATATATATATATACATATATATATTATTTAAAACACACACACACGCAGATATATATGCATAATTTCACGCACAAACATATATATTAACATACATGTTATCACAAATATATATATATATATATATATATATATATATATATATATATATATATATATATATATATATAATCTAACACACATATATATATATAATTTAACACACCCAGCCATATATAATTTAACACAGACTCATATAGTTTTACGCACACAGATACATATATATAATTTAACACACACATAGATAGATCTTCTATGCGCCATGTACCTTTAGGCCGTGGGTGATTATGGCTCTTCACTATTTCCTATTGTTTGTAGCTCTCAGTCAGATGTGTATTTTTCCGCATCCGTCGTAAATCCTTTCCGCCATCAATTCACAACTCCTTTATGCCTTGGATATGTCATGTAAGTATCATATTTTCCAAGCACTCTTTACCTAATATGTGTCCAAAAATAAGTATGCTCCCGTCTTTTTTCCATTTTACTCAAAACTTCCTCGTTGCACACATGCTCTGTCCATGGTATTCACAGCCTAGAAATCTATCTCTATTACCCCCAGTTTTCTGTTCATCTGTGAATTTTCTCCGGTTTTTACTTCCATATAGCAGGATTGATATGATATAGCAGATTAGCAGTCTTTCTTTGTCTCAACGGAACCTTTCACTTTCTTAGTAATTCGCTTAGATTCTGGAAGGCATCTTTCGTTAATACACTGCGCATTCGGATTTCGGGGTTACGAGGGTGAGTTAAAATGAACCTCCATCTCAGTATAGGCGTCAGCTTTTGCTAATGGCTTTTTGTCGCGGTCCGATTGAGTAACCGGTACGTTAAGCAGATCTCTTAGACTCATTGAAAAAAAATGGAATCAATTATCAAACTTATACTTTGAGAAACTTTTGCAACGAATGCCAAAAATTTGTGTGGCATTAATCAAGGCTAAAAGAAGGTATTTTGATGAAAGCAAAATTTAATCATAAAATGCTTTTTTCTTTTTGTCATAATACAATGTCTAATAAAAAACATGTCTCACATTTTATAACTATGTATAATACTTTTCTCATATTTAAAGTACAAAACAAATTCTTTTAGAGCCAATTTCAAAAATTACCATAGGTTGCCTAAAACTTTTGAAATGTAGTGTATATGCATACGTACATATATACATGCATACATACACAAACACACACACACACACACACACACACATACATATATATATATATATATATATATATATATGTATGTATGTAAGCAAATATATGGATATAGATCCGACAGTATGAAGAAAAATATACGGAAAAAAAAACAAAAATCCTAATAAGCAATTATGCTGTTTTAATGTTAATATAATGTCAACGTCGTACGTTTCGGTCTAGTAGACCATCTTCAGGACATATTCATAAAACATAATTAACATTAGACTATATTTAATTCAACATGAAGAGACGATGGACATAAGAGTAAGACTAATCAAAACAGATAACTGAAACTTTTCAAGATCAGCGTTCCGTTTCAATATGATCACGTCGGCGTCACGTGGGTGACGTTGTGAAAACGTATTCCTAAAATAGAGTATTTTGAATGAAAAATGAAAAGAATGATCTTGAAAAATTATTGCATATCTTTTGGGGGGACATCTACTAATGTGCTGAACGAATGTGGCTCTTTAGTCCACTTAGGGACCTACATACTCTGGCACAAACAGGGCACTTAAGAGGTGCAACAGCGGGTGTTGCATTATCATGCAATTTGAAATATCACATTTCAATTGCTGGACATCTACGGTTTTATAGTCAATTTTCACCTTTTTCATCTGTGTGGTCTCAAGACCAGCCATCGACAAAAACACTCTTCCACATTCTGTACACAGATCGAGCGACCGGCGGGTGTCTTCAGGAAGTTCAACGAGCAATTCTTTACGCACATCTCTGATATACAATATTAACTATGATTTATATATATATATATATATATATATATATATATATATATATATATATGAATTAGTAGAGCCCGGCGTTGCCCGGGGATGGAACAATAAGAGATAGATCAAGTATCGACCATCATAAAGACTGAAAATAAAATTGACAAAGATTATTGTTTAAGGTTGACGGACACGCATGTCTTAATTAGTTTTTTTTTTTGTTTTGTTTTTGTTTTTTACGAATTTGTCAAACCCAAACTCAAACAAAAACATTGTTTTCAATCGTTATGAGTCTACCGATTGAATAGAATTTTATTATAAACAATTGTCTTGTAAATGGAATTTTTAAAGCATTCTGAATGTAAATAAAGAAAAAAGTGTGCAAGACAATAAGAAATACTACCTGCGAAAAAAAAGTGGATGTTTGTTTTATTGGCAGAAAAATGTAAGAAAGGTAATTTTATGTAGTCCTGTGAAGTTTTGTTGAAATCGGCTAAAAAATGTAGGAAATTCGATCCAACATATAAACGTTACAGACACACACACACACAACCTGCGTTTTATAATAAGTAAGATATATATATATATATATATATATATATATATATATATATATATATATATATATATATATATATATATATATATATATATATATATATATATATGCATGTATTTACCTACAGTTATCTAATATCTGTTTTGTTGACATAATGCCTGTGTCTGAAATAAGAGAGCAAACTCACGCATCTTGACCAACTTTTGGATGTAATATTCAAATCTTGGATATGTTGAGCTCATATGTATCAGTTATGTAATAAATATATTTAGTACTCTGTCATAATCATGTCATGTTATAATCCAAGATACTTGCATATAAAATGTGTCCCATCATTGTGGGACACCCTATATAAGAAATGTGCTCCTGAACTGATTCCTGTCCTCTCTAAACTATACAGCTACTACCTCAACGTCTCCTGCTTTCCATCCTGTTAGAAGTCTTCATCTGTTGTACCTGTCTTTAAGAACTCTGGCGACCCTTTTGATCTATCTAACTACCGTCTTATAAGTCTCCTACCACACTTCAGCAGTCTTTAAAGCTTTAATCAACGCTGAAGTCGTTAAACACCATACATCCCATGATCTGCTCTCTGACAAGCAATATGGTTTCCACTTTGACCAGTCTACAGCAGATGTGCTCACGGCCATAACTGAATCTGCTACCAAGCACTTCACAATAATGGAGAATTTCGTGCCGTGGTTCTAGATATCTCTAAAGGGTTTGATAGGGTTTGGTATGCCGGCCTCCTTCGTAAACTTCAGGAATACGATATTTCAGGACGATTAGTTGACAATAAAATCATTCCTGTCAAACCTTGTTATGAAGGTCGTCCTGAACATATTCTCCTCCAGTTACTTTCTCAAGTGTTCCGCAAGGTTCTATCTTGGGCCCTACACTGTTCATTATCTTCATTAACAATCTTTCCGATGTCATCAGTTCCCAAGTAGGCATCTATGCAGACGACACCATTATTTACTCTTACCTAAATAGTAAATCTGGTATCCATAACAAGACTATCCTGGCTGCTTGTCTCCAGTTGGTTGTCGACTCGGGCAGGAAATGGCTGGTTAACTTTAATGCCTCAAAAAACAAACCAAAAAAACTGATCTCTATTACCCAACGCAGAGAACCCTCCCTGCCTCCCATTAGAATGTCTGATGCTCAACTCCAGGAGAGCACCTCTCTGCGCCTGATTGGTATCACACTGTCCGCTGATCTCTGATGGAATAAATACATTGAATCTATAGCTTCATCTACTGCATGGAAAGTTGGTTCTCAACTCGCGCCAGAAAGTTTTTCTTGCCCAAGTCCATCCTTCAAATCTATAAATCAACCATTCGCCCTTGCATGGAATACTGCTGCCATATATGGTCTGGAGCACCCGCTGTTCTTCTTAGGGTCCTAGACAAAATCCAGAAACGCATATGCAATGTGGTTGGCACTGATCTGGTATCTCGTTTACAGTCGCTCTCTCACAGACGTGCCGTCGCCTCCCTCTGTCTTTTCTACAAATACTTTCACGGTACCTGCTCCGACGAGCTATTTTCTCTAGTTCCCAAACTGCATGAATTTAAGCGTGCTACTAGGTTGGCATCTCGGTTCCACCCTGTCACTGTCGAAACGGTTAAATGTAGCCATCTCTTCTACTCCAGTAGCTTCATGTCTCGCATTTCCCGACTGTGGAATTCCCTTCCTCTTAATTGCCTCCCTGATAGCTATAATCTTCAGCTATTCAAATGCAATATCAATCGACATCTTCAAATGTCATGTTCTATTCCCCGTCCTTCTCTTCACCTTTCCCTCTCTCACGCCTCTTTACTTTTGCTCCTACTTTCTGTAACCCCTTGCATGCTAGTGGCGCTTCTGCCTTGCTTGGGTGAAAAGTTTAATATATATATATATATATATATATATATATATATATATATATATATATATATATATATATATATATATATATATATATATATAAAAACAATAATATATATAATCTGGTGTTCTTATTGATATTGGTTTTTCTACAGAACAGTGCTCAATGCATTTAACGGATGTCAGAATCCGTTGAAAAATACACCCCTAACCTCCCTAAACTTAGTCTCTTTTTCGAAAGTAACTCATAATTGATACAATAATATTTAATAAAAATGAACACGCTACCGCACCTGTCTGAATGATTGGATTTCTCTGTACCCTTTGAAACAGCAAATTATGAATTTATATGTGCGTTTAAAACTCAGTAAATTTAAAAATAAGTTATTCCAATATTCGCTTGAAGCTGAAACGGAACTAATGCTTTTGATTTAATTATATAATTAAATTTGAAGTTTTTAGCTTTCATTTTTGAAACATGGTTATTACTGTGTAGCGAAAAAAACATATTTTCAAGCCGTTATTTCACTTTTAACTGAATATATGAAATGCTTTATGTATGTATCTACATATAAATGTTTCCAAACAAAGGTTAGCATATATATATATATATATATTTTTTATATATATATATATATATATATATATATATATATATATATATAGGTAACAATACTCGTCTCGAAAAACCTTCGAATTTTTTTATTTGCCAATGATCAAATCAATCACGAAGGAAAAAAAGGTTTTAAAAAAAGAAAGAGCTAGAAACATGAAAGTCTGTCGAAAAAATCGCACAGATACAGGTTCAAAGCCCAAAGAAAAAAAACCGACAGGTATAAACAACTAACTAAAAAGAGCTTTTTAGAAATGCCCGCTCTACTGCGTCTGCCAAGGCTGCAGAAAACTCTGAAGTACGCCGTCAACGGCTCGAAAACATTAGCCAACTTCGAGCTTCTTTGAATGGTGTAACTTCGCCATCTGCGTCATTTTGGTCAAATGCCGCATACAATTATGACTGCACTGTCAACTATTCCGCTAGGAGAGACGTACAAATAGGGGCCATGGATAAAGTTTTCACTTTTTGCAACGCAAAAAAGCGGGCCGGTGAGCAACCTGGGCTTTGTTGCTCTGGGGGCAAAAAACTCCCTTCTTTAGACGAACCTTCCCAGCCGCTTAGAGACCTCCTTCTGGGTACAACTTCGGAGTCAACGCATTTTCTTGAAGTAATACGGAAGTACAACTGTTGCTTCCAGATGACGTCTTTTGGTGCGAAGGCTATTATTAAAGGGGGATGGATGCCTACTTTCAAAGAGCAAGGCTAGGTTTACCACTTTGTGGGATCACTTTTGGCTGATCAGGGAGAGCCACCTCAGTTCCTACAAATTTACTTTCTCGCTGACTACAACGAGCAGGTTGATGCGCGTCTCGGCATTCTGCCTAGCGATATTTCCGTCGGTCCCCGTAGAGACATTCTGTTCCTTCTACAAGACATGCTTCACTAACAGTTAAATCCGAAGCTTAAAGTTTGCGTTGCAAAACAACTCTTCGCCCTCTTTCAGCGTGAGCATGAGCGTCGCTTCAATGCTCCTGCATGTAATGAAGTCGCCGCAGTCATCCACGGTAATGAACATAACAGTCGTGACATTGTCATAAGGTAACGGGGCGGTGGTCTGTGCCGCATCAGTGAAACTGTCTCCAGTACCCACTTCTTTTTTCATACGGAAGCGATGGGTACCACTTCAAAATCTCAATATACCAGGCAAGCAGGGATTTCATGTCGACCTCAAAGATGGTCTCCTGTGGGGCTTAGTACTCCTACGTGTTTATGGTTAGGGAGGGTGAATTTAACCACTTGCACAGGTGCCGTCAACTATTTCTTCAATTCGCTGTTGACATGGCTGCAAAAATGGAGTTGGAGAGGTTAGGATTCATCAAGTTAAACCAATCCAAACTTCGAACCGACTCCTATATTCCCCTTCGTGATGGTCTGCGTTCTGATGGTGACCCACGCAATCTCGGCAAACCGTATATTTTCCCTTCCTCTTACACTGGTGGCCCTCGATACATGCATGAAAGGACACAAGACGCAATGACCTATGTCCGTCATTACGGGAGGCCTGATTTGTTCGTCACGGTCACGTGCAATCCGAAATGGGTTGAAATCACACGCGAACTTTTTCCAGGTCAGCTGTACTCCCACCGTCCTGACCTAATTGCCCGCGTTTTCCGGTTACAGCTGTGTAAGCTTATGGATTTAATCCTTAAAGGTCAAGTCTTCGGACGCGTGTCATATCTATACAGTGGAATGGCAGAAACGCGGTTTGCCTCATGTCCACATTCTGCTGTGGTTCAACGATAAGGTTAACGGAAACAAAATAGACGATTTTATTTCTGCTGAAATTCCGGATCCTGCGCTGAATCCTTTGCTCCACGAAATCATTAAAAACACTATGATACACGGCCCCTGTGGCGCGAATTACTAAAAAAGGTCATGTTGATCAAGCGGCCCCACTTGCGCAAAGGGTTACCCCCGTAATTTTATCTCAGAAACGCAGACTGCGACGGATGGTTACCCACTGTACAGACGTAGAAGCCCCGCTGAGGGCGGCAGAACTGTGACAGTTAAAGGGCACACTCTGGACAATCGTTGGGTGGTGCCTTATTTTCCGTTGCTGTCCAAGACTTTTGGAGCCCACATAAACGTTGAATACTGCCACTCGGTTAAGTCAATAAAGTACATCTGCAAGTAAGTTAATAAAGGCAGCGATGCTGCCGTTTTCGGTATTCGGCGCGACAATTGCGTTGACGAGGTGGCCGATTACGTGGCTGGACGCTACCTCAGCAGTAGCGAGGCCTTTTGGTGAATTTTCGGATTCCCCATACACCAAAGGGCTCCAGTCATTGTGCAGCTTGCTGTTCATTTAGAAAATAGACAAAGGATGTACTCCACCGAACAAAACGCCAAGCAGGTTGCGGAAAACCCTAAAGACACAACCCTAATGTCTTTCTTTAAAGTATGCTCAACAGATGCTTTTGCCAAAACATTGATATACCCCGTCCTACTAATTGTGGTCAAACAACCGGTGGGTTCGGAGAAAGGCTGGTGACCCTGTCGAGAGTTATCCCGATGTAAAGTCTAACTCTTGCCTTGGACGCGTTTATACTGTGCCTCCCCAAGCAGCAGGAGTGCTTTTACGTCCGCCTTCTACTTCATGAAACGAGTTGGCATGCTTCTGTTTGGGATTGCTTGAAGACGACTCCCAATGGGATGCAGCCATGGCGGAGGGTGAACCTCTCAGAACGCCATTACGGCTTCGAACGGTGTTCGCCATTTTGCTTTTGAGATGCGAACTAAGCGATCCTCTGTCGCTCTGACTAAAGTACAGAGAATCCATGTTAGAGGATGAGCTGTTCTCCGTTCAGCGTAACAGCCCAGGAGTTGAACGATGTAGATAGTGACAGATCAGAATAAAGGAAGTTATATCACATAAATTTTCTTACCATGACATCCCGTCACTGTTCGCTCTTCTCTCGGTTTTACGGTTCTGCTTTGTGATCGTGGCAGCGCCGTCTTTTGGGCATAAGACGCGTCTTTTACTTCGACAAGCGGTTTGTTTGTGTTTACGCACGGCACATACATTATGCCTATGGCTTCCTCACGGCACGTTTTCCCTTCAATCCCTATGTATGTTGCAACTGAATCGTGGTTTCTTGACTACTTACCACAAGTGCTTCCAGTAATGCTTAACGATCCAATTGGTTAAAGCAGTAACTGCTGCCAGCTTTTACTCACAGATGTCTTAGTAATGGCAAATGACTGATGCTACAACGGCTTTCCGTTACTTCCTTCGATACCTTCGAATACTTGGGCCTGCATGATATCTGCTTAAAATTTGTGTGCATTGCGTTTCAACGTTTTGTAGAAACTTAGTTCCTGTCGATTTACAAAGCACATCTTTCAAAGCAACAGACGTCCCCAACTCTTACTGTTACATGCCCGGGCAATGCCGGGCACTACTGCTAGTATATATACACAAATATAAAGCGATTTTCCAAGCGTAGCTCGGATGTGGCACAAAGCCGAATGTATGGAGCACCCAGTGAGGATCGAACTCACTACTCAGTCGTAATTGTTCTAGCGAGACAAGCTTGCTAACCATTACACCACCTCGAGGTGCCGTATACACATATATATATACACACTTCCTATATTTTGTAGGGTTCTTGTATGTGCTTGTTGTTAGTCAATTGTGTTTGTTTTTGCCAGTATATATATATATATATATATATATATATATATATATGTATGTGTGTGTGTGTGTGTGTGTATGCAATAGTTGTGCAATTACTGTAAGATACTATTTATATTGCTTTTTTATATATATATATATATATATATATATATATATATATATATATATATATATAGAAAGTTATAAAAGATATAACTGAAATTTTTAAGATCTTAAAATTTCAGTTATTCTGTTTTGATTAGTCTTACTCTTATGTCCATCGTCTTTTCATGTTAATTATGTTTTAATAACTATGTCCTGAAGAAGGTCTACTAGACCGAAACGTCTGACGTCGACATTAATTTAACATTAAAACAGCATAATTGTATATTCGGATTTTTGTTTTTCCATATATTTTTCTTCATATGTGTGCGTGCATGTGTGTGTGTGTGTGCATGCGTGTATGCGTGTCTACGGAAAGATTTATAATAAAAGGTTCTATTGGCCTTTAAAGCTTATTCGCTCGGATTTTTTCTAATGTCATAACTGATCTGTTTCGTATCAGAAACGCAAACAAAGCAATTTCTAAAGAATTAATGGATTTTTATGTATTAATCCGAGATATTTTATTATTTCAAACGTTATTTTTAGGGGAACCGATATCTAAGTAGACGCTCTGTTTACCAACAAACAGTATTTTATTTAATTCTCGAAATCTTATTAAATAAAATGAGGTCTCTAACAGAATTCGATCCTGCGTCTGCCTTTGCAGGAGAAACCGTCATTCGATCCGATATGTGTTGACCACTCACTCATGAAGAGTTTCAGATTCAAGCAACGTTATATTTGCCCTTAAAACACATTTTATTCCAAAGCCATATCTGCTCGATTTCGTGTCTGAAACGTAAACAAAGTAATTTCTTAAAAATTAATGGGTTCTAACATTATATTAATGGGCAATTAATAGTTAATGGTTTATTAATTTAATTTATATTAATGGTTAATTAATTATATTAACGGGTAATTAATAGTTAATGGTTTATTAATTTAATTTATATTAATGGTTAATTAATTATATTAATGGTTAATTAATGATATTAATGGTTAATTAATGGGTTCTAAAATAATGGGTTTTCTATATTAATCTGATATATATAAGTAACATTACACGCTATGTGGTAATGATGGGTCTTCTTTCCCCAATCTGACTAAATTACCAAATATGAAAATTTATTTTTGGATCCTTTTTGGTAAGTTCAAAAAATTTTCAGATTTTTCGTAATAGAAGAAAATTCAATTTGAATGTATGAGCATGGCTTCATTTAATACACGTATCATCAAGTCTTGAAAAAGAAAAGCCGCCATTTTTTTAATTTATTTTTTTTGTTGTTTAATATGGGTAAATTATTTAGAGGGAATTACCGCCACCACCAGGGTAGGCTTGACACATGGTCTCATTGAATGTATAACCCTCCATGCTTGTGTATGTGCGGTGATAGAAATAGTCTGGCATTTCTGTGTTTGGAATATCTCTGGCATCATAAATTAACCGTGTCCTTCGTCTTTTAATACAGTAGAAATGGTGTAGCCGGACGAACGCTACTCCAACTCTGGAACTGGATTTTTTAAAATTTTAGCCTCAGGTCCCATGGGTGACTAGCAATGGAAAGATATTTGGAGAAACGCTATTTTTATATTGCAAATATTTATTCACTATAATTTTACATATGCACAAGAGAGATTAATGGCAACCTCACCACACTAATAATAGTCTGCGAGGTAAATTAGCATTTTGCCAATATATCTTAATTCTGTTTTCTTTCTTTCTTTAACACTTGTTCGCTTTTTTCTTTTTTTTTTCTTTTTCTTTCTATTTTTGTTTTCTTCATTATTCTTTCTTTCCTTCTGAGAAAAAATGTTAATTTGTTTTCTATTTTTTATTTTCTTTTATTTCTGTTCGTTTTTATTTTTGGTATTCATTTGCTAATTTTTTTTTTTTTTTTGGACTTCTTTTCTTAATGTTTTCTTTGATGTTACTTCCTTGATGAAATATAAAGATCTTTTCTTCTTTTTTTTCTTTCTTTCTTCATGTACCCATTCTTTTCTTCATTATTCATTTTGAATATTTTTTCACTCATTCTTTCTTTACTTTTTTTTTTGCTTATTTCATGATTGCCTTCCCGCCTCCTTCACACATCTCTCTTGCTCTGTTGCTCCACCATTTTATTTTTTTGAATTTCCGAATTTTCTGTTTGGTATTTTTCTGCCTGATTCTTTCGTTTTCACCTTTTTAAATCCTTTTCTCTTTCATTGTACTCAAATTCCTTCATTATAGTGGCATTGCTCGCTCTTTTTCTTAATCAGTCTTTGTTTTCTTTTTCTCTTTTTTTTTCTATTTTTTGTTCAATTTGTTTTCTTTTCTTCTTACGTTTTCTGCCTTTTTATATATTCTTTCTTTTCCTCTTCATTTTCTGTCTTACATCATTTTCCTCTTTTATTTCAGTTTCCGTGCTCTCTTCAATTTGAGACATTTTTACATTTTTTGTGTGTCCATGGAAACACTCATACATAATTGTTCTTCGTTTCTCTTTCATCTCGTCTCTACGATTTTTTTCTTCTCTTGTTTAACCATTCCCAAAACACATGAAACGATCGTTTTAATGAAATTACTGAAAACAAGACAATTTTTTTAAAAAAAAAAACATCAATCAATAAAAAATTAGAAAATAAGCTACAAAAGCAATAAATACCTAATGATTTTGAGGATGAAATAAAGATGGCGGTGAAGACTAAAATGGTATAATTGAGATCTCGTCTATCTCGTTACGAGATTACAATCAAGCAAATGTGACGAACGTTTCGTCAGCAATTAGTTCAAAATTTTTTAAAAAAATGAAAGAGAAGGAAAACGGCACATTCATTATCTTGTAGGTTGAATGGAAGGTTTGCGAGGGTGGGGGCATTTTGTAAGTATCTATTAAGATGGTATTTCACTTGAGCGGTCGGATGATGTTAAATGACCTTTCGATGGACGATGGTGCTTATCGTCAGCGTCTGTGTTTTGATCAATTTTGTTAGCGAATCGCTTTTGATGTACGCTAATGAACACGACTCGGAGTAACATCATTACTGTCACAAGCATCCACTTCTTGTTCCCCAATAGCTTTTTTTCATTATTCTTTCCATCTTCAATTTTACTCGCCTGCTTTATTTTTTTCTTCTCATCATATCGGTTTTGCTTCGATTTTTTGATTTCTTTCTTCAATTCCATGAAAGATGACTCCAAATTCTTCTTAAAACTTGGCTCCTTCACGTCTTCAATTTCTTTCTTTCGTTTTCTATTTTCTTTCTCTTCTGTGTAATCTTCTTTCTTTCTTTCTTTCTATACTCCGCCTTTCTTTCTTTCTTTCTTTCTTTCTTTCTTTTTTTTCTTCTCTTGCCTTTTTCCATATTTTTCTACTGTGTACTCTCCTTTCTTTCTTTCTTTCTTTCTTTCTTTCTTTCTTTCTTTCTTTCTTTCTTTCGTTTCCTATTTTCTTTCTCTCCTGTGTACTCTTCTTTCTTTCTTTCTTTCTTTCTTTCGTTTCTTATTTTCTTTCTCTCCTGTGTACTCTTCTTTCTTTCTTTCTTTTTTTCTTCTCTTGCCTTTTTCCATATTTTTCTACCGTGTACTCTACTTTCTTCTTTCTTTCTTTCTTTCTTTCTTTCTTTCTTTCTTTCTTTCGTTTCCTATTTTCTTTCTCTCCTGTGTACTCTTCTTTCTTTCTTTCTTTCTTTCTTTCTTTTTTCTTCTCTTGCCTTTTTCCATATTTTTCTACTGTGTACTCTCCTTTCTTCTTTCTTTCTTTCTTTCTTTCTTTCGTTTTCTATTTTCTTTCTTTCTTTCTTTCTTTCTTTCTTTCTTTCTTTCTTTCTTTCTTTCTTTTCTTCTTTCTTTTCATATTTTTCTTCTCTCCTTTTTTCTTTTTTTCTTCTTTATTTTTTTCTTTTCCTTTTTTTTTTCTTTCTTTCTTCTTTTCTTTCTTTCTTTCTTTCTTTCTTTCTTTTCTTTCTTTCTTCTTTCTTTTCCATATTTTTCTTTCTTTCTTTCTTTCTTCTTTCTTTCTTTCTTTCTTTCTTTCTTTTTTTTTTCTTTTTTTTTTTTCCTGTGTATTTTTTTCTTTCTTTTTCTTTCTTTCTTTCTTTCCTTTTTTCTTCTCTTCCTTTTTCCATTTTTTTTCTACTTCTTTTCTCCTTTCTTTCTTTCTTTCTTTCTTTTCTTTCTTTTTTCGTTTTCTTTTCTTTGTCCTCTTTTCTTTCTTTCTTTCTTTCTTTCTTTCTTTCTTTTTTTTCTTCTCTTGCCTTTTTCCATATTTTTGAACTGTGCTCTCCCTTTTTTTCTTTCTTTCTTTTTTTTTTCTTTCTTTTTTTCTTTCTTTCTTTTTTTCCTTTTTCTTTCTTTCTTTCTTTCTTTCTTTCTTTCTTTCTTTCTTTCTTTTCTTCTCTTGCCTTTTTCCATTTTTTTCTTTTGTACTCTCCTTTTTCTTTCTTTCTTTCTTTCTTTCTTTCTTTCTTTTTCGTTTTCCCTTTTTCTTTTCTCCTTTCTCTTTTTTTTTCTTTCTTTCGTTTCCTATTTTCTTTCTTTCTCTTTTCTTTTTTCTTTCCTTTCTTTCTTTCTTTCTTTCTTTCTTTCTTTCTTTTCTTTCTTTTTTTCCATATTTTTGCCTTTCTCTCCTTTTTCTTTCTTTATTCTTTCTTTTTTCTTTCTTTTCTTTCTTTTCTTTCTTTTCTTTCTTTTTTCTTTCTTTCGTTCCTTTTTTCTTTCTCTCCTGTTACTCTTCTTTCTTTCTTTCTTTCTTTTCTTTTCTTTTTTTCCATATTTTTTTCTCTCCTTTCTTCTTTTTTCTTTTTTCCTTTCGTTTCCTATTTCTTTTCTTTCTGTTTTTCTTTTTCTTTCTTTCTTTCTTTTTCTTTCTTTCTTTCTTTCTTTTCTTCTTGCCTTTTCCATATTTTTCTAGAGTGTACTTTCTTTCTTTCTTCTTTTCTTTCTTTTCTATTTTCTTTTCTTTCTTTCTTTCTTTCTTTCTTTCTTTCTTTTCTTTTTTTGCCTTTTTTTCATATTTTTCTTTCTTTCTTTCTTTCTTTCTTTCTTTCTTTTTTCTTTCTTTCTTTTTCTTTCTTTCGTTTCCTATTTCTTTCTTCTTTCTTTCTTTCTTTCTTTCTTTTCTTTCTTTCTTTCTTTCTTTCTTTTCTTTTTTCTATTTTTCTACCGTTTCTCTCTTTTCTTCTTTCCTTTTCTTTCTTTCTTTCTTTCTTTCGTTTCCTATTTTCTTTTTCTCTCCTGTGTACTCTTCTTTATTTTTCTTTCTTTCTTTCTTTCTTTCTTTCTTTTCTTTCTTCCTTTTTCATATTTTTTTCTTTCTTTTTCTTTCTTTCTTTCTTTCTTTTCCTTTCGTTTCCATTTTTTTTCTCCTGTGTTCTTTCTTTCTTTCTTTCTTTTCTTTCTTTTTTTTTTTCTTTCTTCTTTTCATATTTTTTCTTTCTTTCTTTTTCTTTCTTTCTTTTTTCTATTTTCTTTTCCTCTTTTCTTTTCTCTCTTCTTTCTCTTCTTTTCTTTCTTTCTTTCTTTCTTTTTTTCTTTCTTGCCTTTTTTCCATATTTTTTACTTGTACTCTCCTTTCTTCTTTCTTTCTTTTTTCTTTCTTTCTTTCTTTTCTTTACTTTCTTTCTTTCTTTCTTTTTTTTTTCTTCTCTTCTTTTTCCTATTTTTTTCTGTTTCTCCTTTGTTCTTTCTTTTTTTTCTTTTCTTTCTTTTTCTTTCCATATTTTCTTTTTCTTTTCTTCCTTCTTTCTTTCTTTCTTTCCTTTTTTTTCTTTTTTCTTTTTTCTTTGTACTCTTCTTTCTTCTTTCTTTCTTTCTTTCTTTCTTTCTTTCTTTTTCTTTCTTTCGTTTCTTATTTTCTTTCTCTCCTGTCTTCTTTCTTTCTTTCTTTCTTTCTTTCTTTCTTTCTTTCTTCTTTCTTTTCATATTTTTCTTTCTTTTTCTTTCTTTCTTTCTTTCTTTCTTTCTTTTTTCATTTATTTTCTTTCTCTCCTGTGTACTCTTCTTTCTTTCTTTCTTTCTTTTTTTTTTTTCTTCTCTTGCCTTTTTTCCTTTCTTCTTTCTTTTTCTTTCTTTCTTTCTTTCTTTCTTTCTTTCGTTTCCTATTTTCTTTCTCTCCTGTGTACTCTTCCTTCTTTCTTTCTTTCTTTTCATTTTTCTTTCTTTCTTTCGTTTCCTATTTTCTTTCTCTCCTGTGTAATCTTCTTTCTTTCTTTCTTTTTTCTTTCTTTCTTTCTTTCTTTCTTTCTTTCTTTCTCTAATGATACAAAAACAAATAAAAGTGAACGAAAAATGTAAATCAATAAAAAATGAAAAAAGTAAAAAAAACTTACTTTTTCTTTCTTTCTTTGTTTATTTCTTTATTTATTTGCTTATTGCTTTTTACCTTTGTTTTCTTTTGCCAATTTTTCGATTTTTTTTTTGTCCATCATTTCTTCGTCTTTTCTTTCTTTCTTTTTTGTATTTCTTTCTTCTTTTAATCCATACTTCACGATATTTTAAAATTTTCATTCTTCTCTTCATTTCTTTTGTTCTCAGTTTTCGGTTCCGCCATTTTCTTTCTTTTTTCTTTCTTTCTTTTTTTGTCACCTTTCTTCTTCCTTATTCTTTCCTAATATTTTTTATCTTTTATTTTCTTTACTCTTTCTGTTTTTTTTTTTTTTCAAATATCTTCCTTTTTCTTTCCTTCTCTTTAATCTTTACCTTCTTTTTAATCTTTATTATTAATTGTATTTTTACCTTCATTTATTATTTAAATTTTTAGAAAATTTTTTTTTATTTCCTTCCCGTCTTTTTTTTTTCTTTTTTTTTTTTTTTTTTTTTTTTTTTTACTGTTTTTCATTTTTTTGAAGCTTTTCAAATTGCTTTTCTCTTTTCGTTTTTCCTGCTTGTTTTGTTCGTTTTTCGTTTTATGATCCATTCCTCCTTATATTTAGACGTTCCGCATTTTTATTCTCGCTTTTCCCCTTCAAATTAAATGAGCCGTTAATTTATTTCTGTGTTTCTACATTATTACATGATCGGCAAACTCAGGATATTTGGCTGGAGTTGGAGACAAATTATGAACTGCATGAAAAAAAAAAAAAAAAACGTGTACAGAAGTGGTCCATTTGCATCATGATGCTACAACCCTTCTGAGTATACAAGCGATCCCAAGAAGTGTAGTATTTACGTGTCCAATCTTGACATCAACATCCTATTTTTTCCACCCGCTTCACGTAAGTTCAATACTTTTGTCTCCTGAAACACCAATGCTATTAGAGATGACTTCGTTAAACAGAATTTAATAAAAGCAGATAGGTGCGTCTATCGTTCGGTTCACACTCATCCCGGGCCTTTTGTTTCCTGTTTAGGATTGTGTTTCCGGTTCCTCTTAAATCCATTTTTTATTCTCTATCACACACAGTAGATCCTTGTGTATTCGCGCCGTCATCACCTTGTTTTC